AGCAGAGGAAACCTGAAAAATGTGTTACTTGTGTCTTACTGACCTGCCAAGGCATTCGACTGTGTGGATTATAACAAACTGTTGATAACCTTGAAAAGAATGGGAATTCCAACGCATATCATTATGCTCATGTGAAACTTGCACATGGATCAAGAGGCACTCGTAGGAACAGAACAAGGGAATGCCGCATGGTTTAAAATCAGGAAAGGTGTGCATCAGGGTTGTTGTATACTTTCCCCGTACCTATTAAACCTGTATGCTGAGAAAATCATCAGAGAAGCTGATTCATATGAAGAAGAAGGTGGCATCAGGATTGGAGGAAAGCTTATTAACTTGTGGTATACAGAAGAGAAACCTTTGCTTACTGAAAGAAAGGCGATCTTGAAGTACTTACTGAGGAAGATCAAGGATTGCAGCCTTCGGTATGGATTACAAATCAATGAAAGGAAGACCAAATTTCTTATAACTGAAGCAGTAGGTAACATCATGATAAACGGAGAAATGATTGGTGTTGTCACGGATTTTAACTTGCTTGGGTCCACCGTTAAGCTCATGAAACCAGTAGTGCAGAGAGGAAAGCATGAATTGCACTGGGTGCATCTGCCTCACAAGACCTCTTAAAATGTTGGAAAGAAACGATATAAGTACGTGGACTAAGGTGTGAGTAGCCCCACATGTGGTGTCTTCAAATGCTTGTGAGAGTTGGATCTTGAATAAGGAAAACCACAGAAGAATTGATGCATTTGAATTATGGGGCTGGTAGGCCAAGATGTAGTTCTCTCCCTCTCCCTCTCCCTCTTTCTCTCTCTCATACACACATATATATCTATATCTATCTTACTCTCTTTCCCTCTTAATTTGCTCCTGTGTGGTCTGGGCAGACCTGCCACTCACCCCGACCTATATTTTCAGTGCTGTCCTCTGTAGTGCATTCCTCTGAGGAGGGGGTTGATGTAGCTGGATTAGAGGCCAGTCCCTCAAACCTCTCTGTTAGTTCATTGTTTCGTGCTGGTATGTTGACCACTAGGCTTGAGTTGGAGTCAGTACTGGAGACACAGTGCAGGAATTGTGCCCAGTCTCACCCTCTCCCTCCTCCCTACACAAAAGGGAGGGCAGCAGAGCAGCAAGAGAGGCAAAGCAACAAAGTTTCCAAGGAATCCCGAAAATAGACTTCTGACTTGGGGTGGTGGGTTAGGGCTTGGCACTTCATCAGATCGGATTGGAAAACAGAAGGGTCAGCAGACAGGCCTGGGACTATTTATAGGTGTTCTTCCCTTCCCTCTTCTCTCTCTTTTTT